GGGGGGGCCCCCTGTCGCCCGGCATCGGGCGGGGATCCTGCCCAAGCGGGGAAGCCGGGGGGCGGATCTAGAACGCGCGCGGGCGCGTGTGTTTTTTCCCTGGCCCGTCGAAATGCACCGCCGGCCGCGGGGGGCACCATATCGGGCCGACCGCATTCCGCGGCGGGGCGGCTGGCTTTTTTTCTTACCGGCGGGCACCGGGCCGGGGGGGGGCGCGGACGGCCAATGATTGCGCAGGCGGCGGCCGGGCCGGCTCGCGCGAGCTCAGGATTCCCGCCCCCCCCCCCCGCCGGCCGGGCCCGCCGGGGGCATGTTGGCGGACGGCCGCGCCGGGTGGTTGGCACTCGCCCGGGATGGGGAGAATGTGCCAACGTCGGCGGGCCGGGCGGCGTTCTCCCTGGGTGCGCGCGCGCGCGCGCGTATGCGCGGCCATCTGGCGGGGGGAAGCCCGCGGCCGGGGCGGCCGCCATCGACCGGCGGCGTGCGGGCCCGGGCGCGCGCCGGGCCGGATGTGCATGGCCGGCCCCATGGTGAAGGGGCGCCCGGCCGGGGGATCCGCCGGCCGGGCGGAGCTCCAAGTCAGATCCACCATCGCCCTCCCCCTCTCGCCACTCGCCACCCCCCGCCTCGCCCCGTTCCCGGTCTCATCTCCCCCCTGGGCAGCCGCTTCCTCCTGCTCTCTTGGTACAATGTATCGTCCCGCGCGGTATGTCCGGCCGCTACGCGCCACTGGGAGCCAGCCCTCGCCGCCGGCGCGGGCCTTCCCCGCGTGGCTGCCCGAGGTCATGGCGCCGGCGAGCGGCTCGCTGCCGAGTGAGATGACGATGGAGGTACGCATGTGTCGGTGCCTTTCGTTCCGTCCGTGAGGCCGGGCCCGGCGGCCAGTACTGACCCGCGTGTGGCACACACCTGCAGGCCCTCTGCGCCGGTAGCTGGAGCGCTCTGCTGGCGGGGATCGTCGCGGCGCCGAGCGGCGGGCACCTGCCCGATGCCGGGTACGAGGCCGTGCTGCAGTGGCTGACGTCGCTGGGCAGCCTCGAGCCGGTGCGTCCCTCTCCCCCTCCTCTCTCTCTCTCTCTCTCCAGCCCCTTCTTTGCCCGCTTTTTTT